TTGTGTGGCTGCAGGAAATAGCAGGATTTATAAGGTTGAATTAAAACAATATATAGTGTAAAAACTTTAATAAGGATTGTTTGATTTGTTGTTGCTATAGTAGACATACACTATTATTAATAAAGCTGAAACAGTGCTTAACATCATTTGTTTTCATTTGGAGTTGATTGCAGGTAACTCATCACCTGTTGGCTGCTATTAAGAACTGAGAGCAGGTGTGTTTGCCTCTCAGCCAATCAGATGTGAGGACGCCCTCCTGAATGTTTTAAAAGAGGTGGAGATCTGCACACTCTGTTTGATTATTTCTAATCTCAATGCACACCTTAAACAGCAGAAATTCTTTAGCCTGCAAGCTTTATCCGATTCCACTCAAACCCCCTTCATCCACATGCCCCTTATTTTCTAAATGTCTCTTGTTTATCATTGCAGAGACCTTTTTTTATTAGGAAGGCACTTCGATTTCTTTCTGGGGTGGTTGGGAAAATGGTTCAGCCTTAAACTGGGTAATCAGTACTACCAACCTTAAACCTTAAATAAACCTATAGTCTTAAAGTTTGATTTGTTCGTTAATTAAAACACGTATTCTTTGCCGGGTTTGAACACGTTTTTGGGCTATTTGCAACTTTCGAAAACTCAAGAAAGTTTGCACATGTGGGGAAGTGGCATGATTAGAGTTTTGATGAGGGGGTTGGTTGTGGGCGTGGCTCATCGGGAAAGCCACGCCCACATCCCGTTTTCAAAGTAAATGCCCCCACCCTTACATTTCACATGGACGTATCAAATTTGGTAGGCATATGTAGCATGGTGGGATGTTCAAAAAACCCTCTTGGAGGTATATCGTAAACCCAACAGGACGTCTGCCATTTGGAATTCCATGTTGTTTTTTTGGGCGATTTTTTTGTTTTGACAAAGACCCCCGCTAGCATGTGGTTTGTGACCTTAAATCTTCTTTTCAACTTATTTCATGGCTCAATAATTATTCTAGTTAATGTAGGGGACTCACAGTTAGGGTTAGGGTTGCCAAAGCAGCAATTACCTGCAGCCAAGTAAAACGTCTTCTATCAGCTTGAGTAAAATAAAAAGAATACGTCAAAGTGCGCCTTGATCTACTCAAACATGCCATAGGTTCTTAATTGGCCATCGCTTTACCCTTTCACTTAGTTTCTTGAAAATTGCAACAGTAATTATTCCATAATCCGAACAAACAAACATAATCTCAAGAAATGATAATAACAGAAGACCCAACACTGAACCCTGAGGAACACCAACATATTTATCAACCGTTTGTGAGGTTTTATCGGGACATCTCTGCATCTTCATAGTACTTAATTTAGATATGTTAACGTATATTACCATTACAAAATATTGCTCTTATTGCACTAGTCCGTATTGCTTTTAACATTAAAACAGTGCAGCCCTAATACACATATTTTAATCTCAAATGATTTCGGATGCTATATGAAATATATCCTCTGGTTACAGTCTTTTTAAACCCTGAATGATCTGCTGATACACAGAGTGAGGATACACGTGCATGGCTCAGAGATAAATGGGGAATCTGGGTGAAAGGTAACGAGGCCAAAAGTGACTCAATGTAAAGAGTTCCACAGGTTCAGACAAGAGCAAATATGACGTCTGATACTCGGTATTATCATCAGACTGGGTGCAGGGTTCAGGTGTCGTCCTGTTTTTAGATCTGCATTTGATCATCAGCATGAGCAGACAACGTGAAACATGGAGGGAGTGCACGTGTCACTGAGGGAGTTTCGCTGTCAACACAAAAACTCACCGTGTTGATTTATCTCGGCAGGTTTATTCGTGTTTTTTCCTGGAATAAATGTAGGAGTTTTTCTTATGAATACCCTGAACAAAGATCTAAAGGTTGGTTTAGGTCTTGAACCTTTTGCTGGTGAGGTTTCCACAACGAGTGCAAGTGTAGAAGCTGTTTAATGGAATGGTTCAGTCCTCAATTAGTCCTAAAGCATAGCAATAACTTAGCATTTTAGCACTGCCAGTTCCCTTGTTTCTCTGAATGTGTTTTGGTTGTTATCCTGAAATAAGGTCTGTGGTTAACACAAGCTGAAGAGGTTTTAACGTTTTGTTCTACGACATAAAATACATCAGTAAATACCCCACTGGTAAATTTAAAAACGAAGGTTGCTAACAAGTGTCCAACATTAGCCGCCTTTAGCTTAGCGGTGGTAACGTGAAGTCATGTGACCGTGCTGTAGTTCCTTTATAGCCCAACATTAGCCGCCTTTAGCTTAGCGGTGGTGACGTGAAGTCATGTGACCGTGCTGTAGTTCCTTTATAGCCCAACATTAGCCGCCTTTAGCTTAGCGGTGGTGACATGAAGTCATGTGACCGTGCTGTAGTTCCTTTATAGCGCAACATTAGCCTCCTTTAGCTTAGCGATGGTGAGGTGAAGTCATGTGACCGTGCTGTAGTTCCTTTATAGCCCAACATTAGCCTCCTTTAGCTTAGCGGTGGTGACATGAAGTCATGTGACCGTGCTGTAGTTCCTTTATAGCGCAACATTAGCCTCCTTTAGCTTAGCGGTGGTGACGTGAAGTCATTTGACCGTGCTGTAGTTCCTTTATAGCCCGACATTAGCCACCTTTAGCTTAGCGATGGTGAGGTGAAGTCATGTGACCGTGCTGTAGTTCCTTTATAGCCCAACATTAGCCTCCTTTAGCTTAGCGGTGGTGACATGAAGTCATGTGACCGTGCTGTAGTTCCTTTATAGCGCAACATTAGCCTCCTTTAGCTTAGCGGTGGTGACGTGAAGTCATGTGACCGTGCTGTAGTTCCTTTATAGCCCAACATTTGCCACCTTTAGCTAAAGTGAGCTTTTGACTTGTTTGGCTTGTTTGAAAATTCACAAACACTAATAAAACCCTTTCTCTTTTAGAAATGACTATAATCTGTTTTTTTCCAAACATGTTCGAGTGTCCTGGCAAAGACAGCCAGCAGCACAAATAACAGGTTTGCACACAAAAAACAAAACCAGTTAAAAGTGAAATGAGGTCAGTGTTGTTGTGTTTTCTCTGTGTGAGAATACTGACATGAGGATGTGTTTTTGAAGCCAGCTGTAGAACTTCCCACAGCCGCAGTAGCCGAGCCAGAAAAACCCTTCACTTCCTGTAAACAAAACGCCTGCAAAATATCCAGGTTTCCCCTCCTTAGCCTATAAGTGTTTTAATGAAAATGAAAAACGTAATTATTCAGCATAATGGATAAGTGACCTAATTCAGCTCAGGTGTGTCACATTTCTCTGATTATCTTTCTTTTTTAAGTGAAGGTTTCTCAAGACTTCCTGGTTGTAAACCTCTACTTTAATTCCTCACACTGCTTCCTGCTGACCTCTTGTGGAGAATTCACAACAACAAAATATATAAGAAATGTGGAAAAAATTAAACGTTTTACAATCTTGGAGAGGACAAATATGGTCATGTAATTTACCTTAAAATGGCAGCAATAAATAAAATATATATATCTTGCAGCAATTAATTAATATCTAGAGTACCCTGTGAATATCCACAGAAGTTGTGGTGTATAGTTCTAAATGCATATTGGCATTCATAAAAAAAAGGCTAAATGGTGTACTTCTACTCCACTACAGTTCAGAGGTACATGGTGTACTTCTACCCCACTACAGTTCAGAGGTACATGGTGTACTTCTACTCCACTACAATTCAGAGGTACATGGTGTACTTCTACCCCACTACAGTTCAGAGGTACATGGTGTACTTCTACTCCATTACATGTATTTAATACCTTTAGTTACTTTACAGATCTGGATGAATGATGTGAAATCTAATCAAGTGTTAAATCAGACTTTAGTTCCACCTGGAGTAAATTCACAAGCTACCCTGCAGTATACAAAGTCATTCAAACTAGCTGCACCTTTACCAGCTTTGAGAACACTTTCATGATCAATCATTATAAAACATATCATATATATTATTCTGAAATGGACCAATCTGCACAATGACTACTTTTACTGTTGCGACTTTCACTATATTTTGATGTTAATACTTTTCTACTTTCACTTGAGGAACATTTTGAATGCAGGACTTTTACTGTAACAGAGTATTCCTACACTCTGGTACTTCTACTTTTACTCAAGTACAAGATCTGAGTACTTCTACTTTTACTCAAGTGCAAGATCTGAGTACTTCTACTTTTACTCAAGTGCAAGATCTGAGTACTTCTACTTTTACTCAAGTACAAGATCTGAGTACTTCTACTTTTACTCAAGTACAAGACCTGAGTACTTCTACTTTTACTCAAGAACAAGATCTGAGTACTTCTACTTTTACTCAATTACAAGATCTGAGTACTTCTACTTTTACTCAATTACAAGATCTGAGTACTTCTACTTTTACTCAAGTACCAGATCTGAGTACTTCTACTTTTACTCAATTACAAGATCTGAGTACTTCTACTTCTACTCAAGTACCAGACCTGAGTACTTCTACTTTTACTCAAGTACAAGATCTGAGTACTTCTACTTTTACTCAAGTACAAGATCTGATTACTTCTACTTTTACTCAAGTACCAGACCTGAGTACTTCTACTTCTACTCAAGTACCAGACCTGAGTACTTCTACTTTTACTCAATTACAAGATCTGAGTACTTCTACTTCTACTCAAGTACCAGACCTGAGTACTTCTACTTCTACTCAAGTACAAGATCTGATTACTTCTACTTTTACTCAAGTACCAGATCTGAGTACTTCTACTTCTACTCAAGTACCAGACCTGAGTACTTCTACTTCTACTCAAGTACCAGATCTGAGTACTTCCACCTTACTCAAGTACCAGATCTGAGTACTTCTACTTCTACTCAAGTACCAGATCTGAGTACTTCTACTTCTACTCAAGTACCAGACCTGAGTACTTCTCCCCCCTCTGAAATAAAGTAGTAATTCTGCTCCATTATAAAACATGTATCTGATATATAAATATGAAAAAGGAAACACACGGTCTGAGTTCGATCGCTCATCGTTTTATTCAATGACTGACATCTCAGTGCAGCTGTTGGGAAACCACTGGAGCTTTTTTTTGTTTTTTTAAACGTTTTTATTTTCATAGCGTTGATGCAACACTGAGAAAGCGCTATTTCCAAACAACACAGGTCCCTCATCAGAGATATGTAAGAGAGTCTCACCTGGACAGATTTGCATGAAACATACAAATGAAACAGGTTCAACCTTTTTCTTTTGACTTTTTGTTTCACATATAATAATAAATATCCATACCTATAAACACTCCAACAAAAAAAGAAATCAAACATATTAAGTCACAAGTACTGGAAAAAAGCTCCACTTTTAAATCACAATGATAAATGTACAAAACAATAGACATCTCGTATAAATGTTAATGGTGTTTTCCGTTAAATTAAAGTTGGAGATTCAGTTTTTCCTGAGGTTTATGGTTCCCCGTACAAAGGCCAGGAGAGGGGAATGGCTTTTTAGGTAAGAATGACAACAGGTCAAAGTGTTCCTTCAGGTACCGGGAGATTTAGAGAACCGGGGAACTCAAATATTCTGAGCACTTCACGTGGTAATAAATGCATTGAGGCCACTTTCTAAAAACAGCTGATTCAAGTTGATATTTGCTGGTCCACTTTGAGAAGTTGTGACGCTCCCTTTTTTACTTAAGATTTCTTTCTTTTTCTTTTTTAAACGCTGGAAGCCACAACAAGGAGCCGACCAGCAATGAAACAACAACAACAACAACAACAGCAACAACAACAACGTAAAGAAGAATCTGCGACAGATCCAAAGGTTTCAAAGGTGAGGATAATAAAAAGAAATGAGAAAAACGCAAAAGTATTCTGAAAAACTGTACATGTAAACATCACACTTTCACTGAGTCCATACAAACCAGAGGATTGGGGGGGGTACAAAGCTTCACACAGGTTACAGTACGAGCTCCTGCACTGCTTCAGTCAGTTTCAGTGCAGGAGAGGCAACAGTTGAAATCATATAAATAACGATAAAAGACCACCACCAAATGATAAGTTAAAACAAGCAACCACTTTGTTTTTTTACTAACAGTGCTGTACCCACATTAGAAAAAACACTCTTTGTACAGCTATACATTTATCTGACCACTTTAATCCACGAGCTACCAGGGCAATCTTTAATCAACACCAATAGATTACATTGTCCAGTCAATACAAAGAGAAGATCCATCGGGCATTTTCAAAAGTAAACAAACGACAACGTGACAACAGAGAGGGCGTCGCCGATCACAGGAACTCCAGCGCGAGTAGCTCAGCGTTAAAAAGACGGTTTCACACATCGGCAAGCTAGGGTTTTTAAAAACGAGACGACGTGAAGTCACCGAGGAAGACACGTGTGAGGAAACCACGTTCAACTTTAAAATACGTCTGTGAGAGCCCAGAGGAGGAGGAGGGTGATGAAGAGGAGTCAGGATGTTCTGTTTCATAAAGGAAACCTGCTTTTAATCGGCAGGCAACGTCCAAATGATTTAGTATGCCAGTAAACGTTTTAGTATGTCCGAAAACAGTCAAATTGGAGATACAGGGTCCCAAGATGGAATTAGATTAGACTGAAATACTCTTTTGTGCACCAGTCAATTCTAAAATGAAATACAGAGTTTAATACCAGATCAAATGCACGTTTAAGGGTCTTCAACATATTGATTTTAAATGTCAGATTCCTTGCTTCTTGTCTTAATATTGTCCTCGTTGATTTTGCAAATGGAGCTGCTGTGATGCAAGACAAAGTGCAGACTTGATCTGACTGTTAAAGTATACTTTTGTATGCAGTATGCACACAAACTAGCATGATGTCCTGGTGCATCCGGTCACATTTTGCAGTATGCACGCTTTTCCGGCTGCACCCAGGAATATAAGCAAAGTTCAAATGTGCAATATAATGAAGTAGTTTGTACGTACTTCATAAGAGCAGCTGCAGTGTGTACTAAAGGTAAGAGAGTATGGGGTTTCCAATGTGCTTTTAGAGTGTCATTTTTAATTTTTAAATATATGCGTCAACATATTTAAAATGCAACCAAACTTGTACAAATCCAATCATCCACCTGATAACTTAATCGTTTGTGCTTGAACTTCTCGTGATGTAGTGAATGTTGGTTGCATAATGTCATGGCTCTGGACTAAAGACTCCTCAGTGTTTCTCTTCAGCTTTCAGGTGTCATTTCATCACAAAGATTTGACCTGGATATGATGAGGATAGGTGACCAAGTGATTTTGCTGTCATGTTTAACATGAATTGAATGTGCGTTCTGGCTGCAAACATGTCTGTTGTCTCTCCTGTGATTTGATGTGTCGCAGGTTTGTTTCCCAAAGTGCATGAAACAGAATTCATCCTGCTCCTGCTTTCCAAACCCGTCTGTAATGAGCTCCATTAGTTTCATAAATACGCAGATTCAGAGCTGCTGCTGTCCTTTTCGTTATAATCAGTTCTGGATTTGTTTGAACTGAAGCTGATATAAACTCCAAACGAGGTCAAACACACTCAAATCTCTGTGTTTGGTTACCGTAATCCTGAGCCATAAAGTGCTTCCAAACTTGCAGAAGATAAATTAATTTCAAATGTAATGCAAGCCCAATCATGACATGGGAATATAAATAAAGTAAACATGATAATTTAGCATGTAGCTCCAGCTCTAAGGACTGATTCTTGATAAATAACTGATAGATTTGATAAGATTTGTGATAAATACAGAAATATATCTCTCTAAACTTTGACAAATCAACAAGGAGCGAGCCTCGTTTGTCCTTGTTGGGAATGTTTTCAGCCTTTAAATCACAGATTGATGTCGTACAAACACTTTTTACACAAACATACAACAGCTTACACCGAGAACCACCAAAAAGAAAAGGGAATAAAAAACACTTTTTGTGCCGAGTGACTCACCGTTAAAAGTGTCTGTTGTGAGACTGTGCTCTAGATACACACACACACACGCGCACGCACACACACACACACACACACACTAGCAGAAAGCTGAGAGAGTAAACTGTGATGTGATTACATCTTTTTCTAAGATTGTCTCTTGCTTCTTTTTCAGACGTGATGTAATGAGAACGAGGGTTAGACACAGCTGAGGTCAGAGAGTGAGCACACACACACACACACATTTTCTCACCAACACACACACACACACACACACACATTACTGCGATGCTCAAATGTGCTCCTTTTTCAACCTTAAAAAACACTCACAGGACGATTTCCTTCACACTAAAATAAAAAACAAGACGTGCAACACTAAGTCTCGTTTTTCTGCCAGGTCCCATTTTGCCTTTTCGTCACGACGGATGATCCCGATACACTCAGTTAGCGAGAAAGATCACGACAAACGACAACATTGAATTCGGCTACAATGCTGCACGGGATATCACTTCATTTTTTTTTTTACGACATCTGTACGGGAGGAGATTGTTGGCGAAATTCCTTTTTTTAAAACGCTTCTCAGTAAGCACACCATTACTGATTATCTCTTTAAATATTGCACCGTTTTCTTCTCGTTCCCGTTCAAACAATATATTAATCTCCTTTTCTTTCCCTGACAAGTGTCTGCGACCTCAATGTTGCATACCTGGGCTCCTTTTTCCTTTGTGACTAATGAGAAATTGCCCATGATAGAAATATTTGTAATAAAATAACAGAAATAAAGTCGGGTAATGAGTCTGTTTCTCTCATGTCTAACAATCTGGAAACACTTGTCGAGGTATAGCTTTGACGGGTCTGTTTAAATATGTAAAAATGTCTGACACTTTCCTATTTTTATCTACCTCTCTACTCTTTTTGTGTGAAGTTTGCACAATTCTCCGTAGCTGTTGAGGTCGACACATCCTGGATTTAGCAGCGAATCGTCTGCAAAACGCTCCAAATTTGGAGAATGAACTCTACCTAGAAATCCTCGATTCACACCACGCCACTGCACAGCTGTGTAAAAGTAGAAACGAGCTAATGACGCTAAATCACTGCTACTAATTTGTCCAAACTTCTGCATTAAAACGAGCCGTCACAATCACAGCTGATTTTAAGTTTCTGCAGATCTTTCACGTCGCTTCCTGAGACGAATGGAGGGTGTTTGAGAGTGTGAGCTTGAGAATGGGATGAATGGCTACAGATAAACAGGGCACTAAGGTCAGAGTGAGCCAGATGCATAAAGAAAGGGGGGGTCTTTTGAGTCTCTGAGGGGGGGTCTGGGATCAGTTCTGCTGCAGGATCAGGTTCTCCAGCTCGTCGGCGGAGCGCAGCAGGAAGGCAGCGGAATCTCGGTACCCGGCGATCAGCTGACGCACCGCCGTGACCTCCGGGAGGCTGAGCTGAGCCGAGGCGCCCCCCCCACCGCCCCCCTGACCCTGGCTGCTGGAGGAGGAGGAGGAGGAGGAGGTGGGGGGGGCCACGATGGACTTCATGCTGAGATCTGTGGGACCTGAAGAACACAGAGACAAACATTCAATCAATCAATAGACAACTTTGTTAATCCACAGGAAGTAGTGGAGTGTTAGAACAATCTCCCTGGTCCCCGGCTTGATCTTCAATCTCAGGATCCATGTATTTGTGATCCTCTCCAGAATGGAAGGAGTCATCACATACAGAGCATCAACTAGTTCCTGAACAGTGTCCTTCACATGCTGATATCCAAGAGAGGGAGTTACACAGTCACAAGATGGAGGAATACCGGTTCTTCTAGGTAATCATACATCCTGTCACGTTCAAAAGAGTTTTTTGTCGAAATGTTGGCTTTTTTCTGAAAATCTCAAAATTCTGACTTTTTCCTGAAAATGTTCTTTTTTTTTTCTGAAAATCACAAAATTCGTACTTTCTCTAAAGATTCTGACTTTTTCAAAAAAATTGACTTTGCCTCAAAATCTCAAAATTCTGAATTTTTCGCAAAATTTTGATTTTCTCTCAAAAAAATGTGATTTTCTCAAAATTCTAACGACTTTGCCTCAAAATCCTGACATTTTCAAAAAATTCTGACTTTTTCAAAAAATTCTGACTTTTTCAAAAAATTCTGACTTTTTCTCAAAATTATGACTTTTTCTAATCATTCGTCACCGGCTTGAGCTTCAATCTCAGGATCCATGTATCTGTGATCCTCTCCAGAATGGAAGTAGTCATCACATACAGAGCATCAACTAGTTCCTGAACAGTGTCCTTCACATGCTGATATCCAAAAGAGGGAGTTACAGTCACACGATGTGCTCTGCATGTGAAACCATTACAGAGGGTTTCATCGCTCCACTTCTATCAGCAGCAGTGTGTTGAATCCTCAGCCTCATTATTAGTTTTCTGATCTCCTCACCGTTGGTCTGCGTGTTCCCGGCGCTGGGCTGCACCCCCCCGTACCGCAGGTTGTAGTTCAGACCTCCGTTGGTGAACAGCTGCTCCTGGGCGAAGGCGGCGCTGGAGATGCTGAAACCAGACGGAGTCAGAGAGGCCGGGTCTCTGGAGCTTGACTTCTCTCCGGAGGACGGTTCATCCTGAGGGGAAATAAAGGATCGGAGGTAAAGACGATGCATCCGAGCCCCTTCCTCTAAAATCAGAGATGGCAAAAGTACACACTTCCTTTACTCAAGTAGAAGTACAGATACTCGTGTTTAAAGATACTCTGGTAAAAGTAGAAGTACTGACTAAACTTCTTTACTCAAGTAAAAGTAAAGAGGCTTTGAAATGTACTTCAGTAAAAAGTACCCATAACTAGCAGCTGTTTTAAAGAGTACCTGACCTCCCTTTATATTAATAGAACAATAATGTCATTGTTAGCTAATGAATGTTTCCATGCTGAACAACGGCAACATGACAACGTTTTCATTGGTCCCTCTTCTTTAGAGAAGACCAGGAAATGATGGATACACGGATCGTGTTCAAATCAATAGGCACGCAATGACTCTAAATAATAATGATCACGCCACCAAACACACATTCAAACTAAAGGAACCAGCCTGTTTGGGAAATGTGAGAAGTAGAAAGTACAGGTATTTGGGTTCAACATGTAAGAAGTAGAAAGTACAGGTATTTGTGTTCAACATGTAAGAAGTAGAAAGTACAGGTATTTGTGTTCAACATGTAAGAAGTAGAAAGTACAGGTATTTGGGTTCAACATGTAAGAAGTAGAAAGTACAGGTATTTGTGTTCAACATGTAAGAAGTAGAAAGTACAGGTATTTGTGTTCAACATGTAAGAAGTAGAAAGTACAGGTATTTGTGTTCAACATGTAAGAAGTAGAAAGTACAGGTATTTGTGTTCAACATGTAAGAAGTAGAAAGTACAGGTATTTGGGTTCAACATGTAAGAAGTACTCAGAAAAATAAGTATTGGAGTAAAGTACTGACACCAGAAACATGTACTTAAGTACAGTAACTAAGTATTTGTACTCCACTAGTTCCCACCTCTGCTCCTTTGTATGAATATGTTTGAGAAACACTCTAGACCCCTGCTGGGTGAAACCCGTAGATACTCACCGCGGGGTAAGAGTCCAGACGCATCCTCTTGGCAGCGTTTCTGGTTTCGTTATCGCAGGCGGTGGCGAGGATGTTCTCCGCCGTCACCGAGGTGAGGTGAGGGGGGGTCGGTCGGATCTGGAACAGAGAGAGAGTTTAAAGACGTGAAACACGGGATCTATTGAGATGTATGAAGCGGTGGAAGTATTCATTCATCACCAGGATTGCAAAAGAGCCCCTGGCACTAATGATATTTAATTTGTATTTACTTGCACATCTCAAAACATTCTCTTGCACTATTTTATCTGTTTTATGTGTTCAATGTCTTATATATATATTCATGTTGCAGTGCTGGAGGAGCCTGGGACTCATTGCCATATCTACACTGGATGACAATAAAGCCTTGAAACTTGAATATATTTTCATTTAAGGACGACATCTCAATAAAACAGTTTTGTTTTGTTGGTGCACGGACATTTGGGTATAAACTGCAAAAACCAAATCACACATTGAGCAATAAGACGACCCCTTCTTGTGAAAACCCAACACTCAAAACACTCAATTATCTGGGGTTCATTACACGGTCTGAAAGCTCAAAGATGCTCTGACATTAAAGAGGACATTGTTATGAAATGGTAAAAATGGCGTGGCCTTAATGTATTTCTATTTCCTTTATCCAACATTAGATAATAACACAGCTCCAAGTTAACGCTAGTGTTGCATTGGGACGCACGTACAGTATGCACTTAAAACATGTGATGCATAAAAGAACGTGATTTGAGACACAGCACTGGTCTCCGACTGAGTTCCTTTTCTCCTAATTTGTTTGTCTAAAATGTACTTTATTTGCTTCTGAAATGCAGAGAAGAAATACATTGAATTGGAAGTACTCAATTAAAGAAGAAGTACCTCATAATTATACTTAAGTACTTGAGTAAAGGCACTTACATTCTACCACCAATTGTTTTTGGCATTTGTTGAAATCTGAAGAAGTAGAAAGTCGTCAGAAAAATAAGTAGTGGAGTAAAGTACTGATACCAGAAACACGTACTTAAGTACAGTAACAAAGTATTTGTACTCCACTACTTCCCACCTCTGACTGTTTGTGGTGTTAATAGAGTTTTATTGGGGGTCCTCTGTACCTCGAAGCCGCTCTTCTTCAGGCGCCGGCAGGACTTGAGGTAGGTGCGGATGCGTTTGCGGGATCGCCCCTCGAACTCGGGGAACTGCCGGCCGCACGACTCCAGGATGGCCTGGATCTTCTCCTTGGGCTGTTTGGAGATGGGCACCATGCGGTCCAGGTTCTCATCCACAAACAGACGCACAAACATCTGAAGAGGGGGGAGAGAGGGGGGAGAGAGGGGGGGGGGGGGGAGAGGAGGAGAATCAGCAAATCACCAACACCGTGCATTATTTGTTATTAAAATAATATCTTACATTTTTAATATTTTTGTTAAAGTTCCATATGTTATACCATTGGTGCACATCCCTGAATAAGTCTTGGTGAATTTGAGGGAATGTACTGACACACATTTAGTCAAATTAACCACTATATTTGTGTTTTGGATGTTTTCTTTCCACTAATCGGAGAAAAGTACCCAGTGCAGGATTCTGCCTGTAGTGTCTCGCCTTAAATGCAAGACTTTGCTTGAAATTGATTATTTGTACATGTTGTAATACTTCTTACACTAAGACTAACCCTAACTCTATCAAAGCCAATTAATGGCAGTTCAGTCAGACAACTCACGTGTTTCTTAATATGTTTATTAGAAGCAGCATATAGTTTGAGTTTGGCGTCTAGGCTCGGGCCTCATCACTCCACAGATTTACAAAGAACATTGAGTGATGATTAGATAACTATCCCCCGAGCCTACAGGTGGAAGCTGGGGTGGAAGCTGGGGTGGAAGCTGGGGTGGAAGCTGGGGTGGAAGCTGGGGTGGAAGCTGGGGTGGAAGCTGGGGTGGAAGCTGGGGTGGAAGCTGGGGTGGAAGCTGGGGTGGAAGCTGGGGGGGAAGCTGGTGGTGGAAGCTGGGGTGGAAGCTGGGGTGGAAGCTGGGGTGGAAGCTGGGGGGGAAGCTGGGGTGGAAGCTGGGGTGGAAGCTGGGGTGGAAGCTGGGGGGGAAGCTGGTGGTGGAAGCTGGGGTGGAAGCTGGGGTGGAAGCTGGGGTGGAAGCTGGGGTGGAAGCTGGGGTGAAGCTGGGGTGGAAGCTGGGGTGGAAGCTGGGGTGGGAAGCTGGGGTGGAAGCTGGGGTGGAAGCTGGGGTGGAAGCTGAGGTGGAAGCTGGGGTGGAAGCTGGGGTGGAAGCTGGGGTGGAAGCTGGGGTGGAAGCTGGGAGGGGAAGCTGGGGTGGAAGCTGGGGTGGAAGCTGGGGTGGAAGCTGGGGTGGTGGTGGGGCAGGCGAGCAGCAGCAACATGAAACACAGCAGCAGGAACATGAACGTATAGCAAGTGAACACAGCAGTGGCAGCAGCAGCATAGCGAAAGGCAGAGGCAGGAAGACCTGGCAGCTTAAATAGAGTGGCATGTTTAGGAGAATGTGTTTGGTTGGTTGTCAGAGGGACGAGGTGCGTCACATGTTAATGTATCATTGGTGCTCGAGTTGACTGCCTGAACTAGCTCGCAGGCTTCGCCCCATTGTATTTTCCCTGGAGAAATGCACATGAATGTTTGCGTAAACTGCTCTTTGCAATCTAAAGACCAAAAGTACATGAACCTTCAGAGAGTGAGAGCTGGATATCATGCATTATCACACGTAGCATCAGGATCACTGTCCCTATCAAATTTGGGGGGACGTATATCCCCCCCCGTCCCCCCCCCCGCTATCTGCGCCCCTGGGAGGAGGGGGTGTGGAGCAGAAACATGGAGAGAGGCGGAACAAAAGAGAGGGATGGGGGAGGTAGAGAGGATGAAGAGGAGGGGGAGGTAGAGAGGATGAAGAGGAGGGGGAGGTAGAGAGGATGAAGAGAGGAGGGGGAGGATCATCGCTCAGATTCAGGACCTCTCTGTTGTTCAGGATGCTTCCCTGCTCCTCTCCCGTCATCAGACTGGGACATAAACACAGGATGGAATACAGAAATACTCTCAGTGAGCATCTGCCTACGTTTACTTCAGATATGAGAGTGTTTTTATATTAAGACGTACATAATAAGCACACTTCTAGTTCAGCAGTGCAGGTTGATATGTAATGATTTCTTTGTACATGTTCTGACACAGGATATACATCTTCCACACCAGACTCTCTAGCACACATGTGTCTAACTCGAGGCCCGGGGGCCAAATCAGGCCCTTGGTGGATTTAATTTCGGCCCGCAGGATAATTTCTAATTACTATTAGATCTGGCCCGCCGGTATATTGCACCTTCACTCAATCCTGAGGGTCTCCTCAGCTCAGAGCCTGACCCCAAACATTGATGAACTTGCACCCAAGATGAGATGCCAAGTATCTGGCTTGAACTAGCATCACAGAGCAGCACACTGAGTTTACATGGATGTTTCCTTCTGCACTTTGTCTCTCACGACAACAGGACATGTTTGGTTTTCTCTTTGAGGGAAATAGTTTTGTTGAAGCTGTTGTTGGCCTGTGGAGAAATGTAATCATAAGAAATGACTCTGGAAAAGCTGCAGATCGAGCCATAAGAAATGAATGCAACTGATTATTTAATGTTTAATGTTGGCAATCATTTAAGCTTTGTTAGTTCCAGGTTTAATATGTGCAATAAGTTCATTTCAATAAGTTCTGCAATAAACATTGAACCAGTCCGGGCCTCGACTAGTACCCATTTTTTTATTTTGGCCCACTGTGTATTTGAGTTTGACCCCCTGCACTAACAGAACATATAAATATCCATTACCAGCTCTCTTTGTCCGTGAAATTCCTGGGAACGTTTTTCTTTTCAGAGGATCAATTAAAGTGGACCTATCATGCTATATTTGAATAATATAGTGTAGGACCATACCTATATAAGGCATATTTATACTTTTTTTTTTTCAAAATAACAAATCATGCATTTTAGCCATGCCTCATTTCGCTCAATTTGACCATTTCTAGCTCTGGTCAGATTCTGTGAGAACAGCACCATCTACAGGCCTGGCATATGTACTACAGCGTCTCCAGCGCTTTCGAACGGCAATGGCCGTGGCTGTCTCCTCCTGATTGGTGGAGTTGGCCCAATAGCCGTAGCGCCACCGTCCTGACGTCAGGACAGTGTTCAAATCTGGATCAGTTTTTATCAGATCCGTTGCAGCCCCTTTTTTAGAGATTTGGGTATGGAGGAAAATAGAGAGGGTTGTGTTTTCTGACACTTGGTGAGTTCCCTGGAACACCGGGGACACATATTCATGTAGAAAAGACGTACAAAAGTGCATTTTGCATGATAGGTCCCCTTTAAGTGGGACTCATTTTAGGGAGTTCCCTCTTAAATCATATTATTCTGTATTCAAAGATCAGAGCTGTAATTAATTGGTGTTTTGCATGAACGTAATCACAGTCGTTCTTAGTGACTCTTATTTTGTATATATTGATTGTTGTGCATTTATTTAGGTCTTAATGTGTGCATATGTATGTCTGCTGATTGTGTATATATAGATATATACATATTTGTATATATATTTGTATTTTTGTATTCAGGGTATTGAGAAACGGTATTTCGATCTCTCTGTCTGTACACACAAACTGAAAGATTGATAATAAAGTTGACTTTGATCGGCCTTCAGCAAATTCAAAAAGTATAATGTAATACGTCCCACAAATTGTGCTTATATTGAACTTCTTAAATATATATGTCAAAATATATTAAACAGTAGTATTCATGTGTTAATAAGACCACCTTTCAAATACATTCAGTCAATTAAAGTTGGAACATTTCTAAGTTAGTTGATAAGAAAAAAGCCCAATGACTTATTCCCATAACAAGCTTGAAATACACCCTTCATATTTCTCCTTATTATAATCAATCTGAGGCTTCTGCTTTAAGGGATGAGCTGCCAACACTCACAAGCATCATGTACCTACATTTGATTGATTTTGCTAACTTATAAATGGGGCGAAGCCTGCGAGCTAGTTCAGGCAGTCATCTCGAGCACCAATGATACATTAACACGTGACGCGTCTCTCTTACAACCAACCAAACACAGTCTCCTAAACATGCCGCTCTATTTAAGCTGCCAGATCTGCCTGCCTCTGCCTCGCTATGCTGCTGCTCTGTCACATTGCTGATGTGTTCACGTGCTGCTGCCTGCCTGCCCCACCTAGACGCCAAACTATATGCTGCTTCTAATAAACATATAAAGCAACACGTGAGTGGTCTGACTGAACTGAACTTATGAGGCGATAAACCTCTAGTGAGCGGCCCAGCCCTTCGTATATTTTTCTGTATGTGGCCCTCAGTGAAAACAGTTTGGACCCCCCTGCCTTTGACTTACGTTGAAGGCCTTCAGTCTCTCGGGGTCGCTCCCCTCAGCGTCGTTGATCTTGTCGCTGTCGTCGTGTTCGTCGTGATCGTCGTCGTCTTCGTCGATCATCATCGCCCTACCGGAGGTCAGATCCTCTGCGCTCATACTCACAGAGTCATAACTTCCTGAGCTGTAAGGTGGGGACTAAAGAGAGAAAACAGACAAGAGAGGAATCAGAGCTGCACAATATGAGGAAAATACACGATAACGTTACTATCAAGGCTAAGATATGTAGATAAGTAGATAAGCCAGTCCTTTATTAGTATATAAGTGCTTTGATAAAATGATTAACAAAGCACTTACATACTAACAAAGGACTGGCTTATCTAAAGCACTTGAAATGTTGTGGCTCTATGAAACCTGACGTACTTATATGATTCTGTTTTCTTCAAGTTTGTATCTTCCTGGTCGAATGCACTTATTGTAAGTCGCTTTGGATAAAAGCGTCAGCTAAATGCAATGTAATGTAATATGTGATCAATGATCAGATATTAAAGGAGATTCAAGTCCAGTCAGCAAGGATGTGATAAAGTTGACCATTTGGTTGCAAGAATAATAATGTATTTTGCTCTCAGGGTTGCATAAATATGAGTATCAGTACACAAAAAAGTAGAATCAAATCCAAGACACATTTAGAATAGAATTGTGACTACCAATGCTAAAGATATGTGATCAATGATCAGATATTAAAAGGAATTAAAGTTGATTCAGCGATTTCAATTTACATTTGCGCTCCTATGCAGTCGTGGTTGCATAAATATGAGTAGAAAAAACACAAAAAAGTACACTCAAAAGCCAAAACACATTAAGAATTGAATTTTTGTTAATTAATCCACATTCAAATTAACTAATGACACACATTTAGTAAAATGAACAACTACATTTGTGTTTTGGATGTTTTTCTTTCCATACGCCACATGTTATAAAAGCCAAAACATATCCCAAAAGTGACCAGTGCAGGATTCTGCCTGTAGTGTCTCGACTTAAATGCAAGACTTTATTTGAAATTGATTATTTGCACATGTTGTAGTGGTTCTTTCTAGTGTTGTAGTACTCGAGACCGGTCTTGAGAGCACTTTTTAAAGGCAGTGTTTGTAAACATTGCACTGGTCTATATTGACTGCTACCCCCTCACCTCTCGCCACCCCGTTCACGTTGTTGCTTAGACCTATATACCGTAAAATGCATATTATGATGTTTTATATTATGTTCTTACTATTGGCGCGTTTCCACTACACGGCCTCGCTCGGCCCCGCTCGGTATGGCTGGGCCTCGTTAGGACTGGCTCACTTTATGGCGCATTTCCATTACAGTTTAGGAACTGGGGCAGTATCTATAGTAACGCAGTGTAGGCGGAGCCGTGACGTGATCTTCAGAGAAACCCCAGAAAAACAACACAGCCGTTAGCTGTTAGCACTCAGAGCTCACAGCTCCTCATATCTGTTCAGAAACTAGACAAAAGTTAAACAAGTACAAACCACAGACTGCCTGTGTCATGGCGAATACAGTCGCTGCTTTATTTATGTCTGTATAGGCCGTTGTTGTGAGTGTGGACGGTCGGAGCATATACTGCGTTAGCTTAGCCAATCTCCATCTAGAAAACACGCATTTTAAAAGGTTTTTCGCCTGCCGTCTGTCTGCAGACTTGACAAAGCATTAATTCATGGTTTTTACTAACCGGTATCAGTATGTTGTTACTTCGGCATCATTTTGAAACGTGTATTACAATTAAATCACGGTCAAATATGTCCATCTTGTTGTAGTTGTAGCCCCCTTGCCAGCGATGCTCTCTCTAGTTTAGCATACTCAGCCCGACTCAGCCTCGTTGTCTCTGGCCCTAGACCCGCGATTTTATGAGGCCAGAAAAACTGTGAATTAGGACCCGCCGGCCGGTACTAGGCCAAGTGGAAACGCAACCAAAGACGGGCCGCTGACGTCACAGCCCTCTTAACCTGTTCCACTCTGAGCCTGTTTTTCAGGTCTCAGGCTCGAAAATGACATTCCCAGAACAAATGACCATATCTTCCCTTCTAAAAGGGTTAAATTAATAATCTTTGTTCTCAAAGTAATGATAAACCTGTGAGTTGGATGTAGAAGTGTCAGAATCAATATAAATGTTTTTTATTTTAAAGAAAATTCAGATTTTACATAGTAAAAAACTAAATTATAGTGTCCGTCCAAAAATTATTTTTTACAGATAGTGAAAACTACCCTTGGATGATGGGTTAGTAGACTAAAAGCTTTAGGAATCCAAAGTACAACATATAATAAGTACCCTGTATCAAGATTGATGCAAAACAAGTGAAATTTGACCTTTTTAGAGAGATTTAGCCAAAAACTGGGCCATCTGGGGTCATTTGGGTGGATTTGACCTATCTCTGGCCCCCCTTGCTCGATTTGGTTGGTTGACATACCCTTGTGACCGTTAGAGCCAATAGAATCGAAGGGGGAGGCTCCCACCCAGACACGTTGTAAAGAAAAAATGTGGTTGCTTCGCGTGTGGAAAACGAAACCAAAGTAGAGGAATGTCTCCTTCTGGAGTTTGGAAACTAAAACGCAGTTGTATTGCTTATGGATTATCAGAAATAATTTCATAGAAGGCACAGACACATAGGATGAACCTATGGATTAACTGCAGCATCGTTTTTTTATCGTTTTAATGCCATTGAAGACCACTTTTGACCAAGGTAAGCCATATTTACGTGTTTAGCTTCTTAGCTCCACATGTGATGATGTACGCTTTCGTTTAGAGCGTCGCGAATGTTTATCACTGAGTGTTGAGGAGGGCACCGGTAGATTCAGTGTCTCCAGGACACCAAAAAAGAGTGGTTGGTTGTGCATCTAGGATAAGTAATAAGGGAGTTAGAGTGAGTTTAGTTGCCTTAGTATGTTACGTTTTTTTCGCTTGAGGCTAATTCAGAGGCTGAGTGCTAGCAATGTGGGGTTTTTTTTAAAAGAAAAAAATTAAAAAGATCAGTTAGCTGAGTTTCTTCCCGTTACATGGATATAACACATTCATAGTTTTATTCAATATTAAGATTCCTTAGACGTTGTTTCCTGCAAATGACGCGTTTATCCGCCCGGTACCGAGGGGAAGGTGTGAAACAGGTTAAACCGTGCTCCGCGCTGTAGTGGAAACGCGCCATATGTTACTGTTTTTATATGAAAAGGATAACTTTTGGAATAAATCTGATGAAGTTGAATTTATATCTTACGTATGTGTGTCTTTTTATGATGATGTGGATTTTTCAGATCAAGTTGACTATGGTATCTTACACATGGTATTTTAAGTGTATCATGTAGTGTTGGATTCATAGCAGTCTTGGTCTTGACTTGGTCTCGACCTCTTAAAGTCTTGGTGTTGACTTGGTCTCGTCCTCTTAAAGTCTTGGTCTTGACCTCTTAAAGTCTTGGTCTTGTCTTGGTCTCGTCCTCTTAAAGTCTTGGTCTTGACTTGGTCTCGACCTCTTAAAGTCTTGGTGTTGACTTGGTCTCGTCCTCTTAAAGTCTTGGTCTTGACCTCTTAAGGTCTTGACTTGGTCTCGACCTCTTAAAGTCTTGGTCTTGACTTGGTCTCGACCTCTTAAAGTCTTGGTCTTGGCTTGGTCTCGACCTCTTAAAGTCTTGGTCTTGTCATGTTCTCGACCTCTTAAAGTCTTGGTCTTGACTTAGTCTCGACCTCTTAAAGTCTTGGTCTTGTCTTAATCTCGACCTCTTAAAGTCTTGGTCTTGACTTGGTCTCGACCTCTTAAAGTCTTGGTCTCGACTTGGTCTCGACCTCTTAAAGTCTTGGTCTCGACTTGGTCTAGACCTTTTTAAAGTATTGGTCTTGTCTTCTTCTCGACCTCTTAAGGTCTTGACTTGGTCTCGACCTTTTAAAGTCTTGGTCTTGTCTTGGTCTCGACCTCTTAAAAGTCTTGGTCTTGACTTGGTATCGACCTCTTAAAGTCTGGGTCTTGGCTTGGTCTCGACCTCTTAAAGTCTTGGTCTTGTCTTGGTCTCGACCTCTTAAAGTCTTGGTCTTGTCTTGGTCTCGACATCTTAAAGTCTTGGTCTTGACTTGGTCTCGACCTCTTAAAGTCTTGGTCTTGACTTGGTCTCGACCTCTTATAGTCTTGTTCTTGACTTGGTCTCGGTCTCGACCTCTTAAAGTCTTGGTCCCGACCTCTTAAAGTCTTGGTCTCGACCTCTTAAGGTCTTGACTTAGTCTCGACCTCTTAAAGTCTTGGTCTTGACTTAGTCTTGGTCTTGTCTTGGTCTCGACCTCTTAAAGTCTTGGTCTTGTCTTGGTCTTGGTCTTGTCTTGGTCCCGACCTCTTAAAGTCTTGGTCTTGACTTAGTCTCGACCTCTTAAAGTCTTGGTCTTGACTTGGTCTTGGTCTTGTCTTGGTGTCCACCTCTTAAAGTCTTGGTCTGGTCTTGGTCTTGGTCTTGTCTTGGTCTCGACCTCTTAAAGTCTTGGTCTTGACTTGGTCTTGGTCTTGTCTTGGTCTCGACCTCTTAAAGTCTCTGTCTTGTCTTGGTCTTGCTACTCTCCGGTCTTGGTAATGTCTTGGTCTCGGATAAGGTGGTCTCGACTACAACACTAGTTCTTTCACTAACCCTAACCCTAACTCTATCTACAAAGTCAATTATTGGCATTCATGGAGCTTTCCATTGCATCTTCCCTAGAGAAATACACATACATTGTTGTCCAAACTGCGATTTCTTTGCAATCTAAAGACCAAACCTACATTAACCTTCAGAGAGTGAGACCTGGATATCATGCATAATCAAACGTAGCATCAACACAATGTGAGAAATCCTTAGAATTGAACAGATCATGTAAAGAGCACATCACAATAACAACAACTCCTCACCTTGTTGTTGTTGTTGTACTCTGTTTTGACGGGGAACTTCCTGTTGTTTGTTGGCGACCCTCCCGCCGGCAGCAGTCTGTCGCTCAGGTTGACCGGCTGCTGGTCCTCAGAGGAGGAGGAGGGCGAGGAAGTGCTGAAGTCCAGAGGGGCATTCAGCCCGTTCTCCGTCACCTCCCCTCCATCTGGGGGGGGGTGCGGACCCTCGGGGGGCGGCAGCCCGGGGGCACTGCCGCTCTCAGAGGACTCATCGTCTGACGGGGGTAAGAGGATTCAAGATTCAAGATTCAAGGCTTTATTGTCATTTAAACATAGCTACAGTGGAGTTATAATAATAATAATCTTTATTTGTATAGCACCTTTCATACAATAAGTGCAGTTCAAGGTGCTTCACGTAGACATTTCACAGAAAACGTATATAACACAGCATACAGTTACCAGTAAAAGACATAAAAACAAACTAAAAATAGCATGGAGTAGACATATAAAAAATACATTTAGATTAAAGGTACAACGATTCAACACACAATCAGGTGATAGGTTAAAGTGCATCGCAATGCATGAGAAAGTGCAGCAGAGAGTAGGAGTTTGCTTCCTAAAAGGCTAAATTATACAAATGTGTTTTGTGTTTTTTTTTTAAATGTTATGTCAATAAAAATCTTAGATCACAGGCTCCTCCTCCAACAGTGCAACACAATACAACAGATAAAATAGCCCTAGTGCAAGTATTTGACAGCGTTAATGTGGGTTTGTTTACTGCAAAAAGCATCATATTTTCTGCAGGGGGGAGGGGGCTTCCTGCCTCGTGTATTGGGGTCAACTGTCAAAACCAGTAGAGCGATGCAGTGGTGAAGTATTACTGTAGACCCGCCTGGAAGTTAGCATCACAACTGCTAACTGGACAAAAACCCACTGGGATTCTTCCATTGGGTTTTTGGATTATGATGGCACCGAGTGGATTGTTGACATCCACCTGGATCCATCTTCTTAAATAGACACATGATTTTTACAAGCATTTGGACTACCTATGTTGTAAATGTATTATCTTTTTAATTTACACACAACATCTATTGCACGTCTGTCCGTCCTGAGAGGGATCCTTCTCTGTTTTTCTCCCCGTGGTTTATAACCTTTCTCACATTAACTGGGGGGTTTCTTTGGGGGTGTTTCCTTGTCCAATGTGAGGGTCCAAGGGCAGAGGATGTCATATTCATATTCTGTACAAACTGTATAACAAGCCCCCTGAGCTAAGTGTAAAATGTGTGATATTGGGCTATATAAATAAACTTTGATTGATTGATTGATTTTGGATTATTGCAGATAATAATTTCTGTGGCTAACACACATTTATTATACTTACAGGTTTTGTTCAGCAGGATAATCTCCACATATTAACAACACTTCATGATTTGTGAAGTAACTGACTACAGCACGGAACAAAATGTTAAAATCTCTTCAGCTTGTTTTAACCACAGACCTTATTTCACTATCTCCAAGACTTTCCCGCACATTTTTTAGCTTAGTTTTATGGTTTTGTTATTGTTTGTTCTCTCCGTTAGTAAAGGGGAGCTTCTGATCTCCTCTGACATATTTATTGGATTGTATGCAGTCTTAAATGCGTGCAAAATACACTATATTTGATATATATAACACAGCTTGACGGAGGGACTGTCGGGGGAGGGGAACGGTCACTTCCTGCTTTTTAACCCAGTTTATATCCATGTGCTGATTCCTGCATATTCCCACCATATACTGTATCTGTTCCCCACCTTTAAACGTCCCCCAGAAACATATATTCTCCATATCTGTGTCTTTTCTATCCTAATCGTTGAAGGCCTTTGTCCCACTTCTGTAAACCCCGACACAGAGGGGGGCACAATGGATTGGGGCTGTGTTGATCCCCCCCCCCACCTTCATGTAAGAGTGGATTTATTCTGGATTAGTCCACTAAGAATAGGCCAAGCTGTTCCTATGTGACACTGATCTGCAACCTTCTCTCAAACTAGAATGGTATAGGAATGAGTCTTAAAACCCCAGAAATGTGTTAGCATTTTAGCACTTCGGGTTCCATCATCTGGAAGTCAATGGTTTTCTGAATGTGTTTTTGGTTGGCCTGAAATAAGGTTTGAGGTTAACCGAAGCTGCAGAGATTTTAACATTTTGTTCAACGACATAAAACACGTTAGTAAATACCCCACTGTTGAATTTAAAAACGTTTCTAACAAGTGTCGAAATGAGATGATTAAATGGCATCACGGACAACATTAGCCGCCTTTAGCTTAGCGGTGGTGACGTGAAGTCATGTGACCATGCTGTAGTTGCTTTATAGCCCAACATTAGCCGCCTTTAGCTTAGCGGTGGTGACGTGAAGTCATGTGACCATGCTGTAGTTGCTTTATAGCCCAACATTAGCCGCCTTTAGCTTAGCGGTGGTGACGTGAAGTCATGTGACCATGCTGTAGTTGCTTTATAGCCCAACATTAGCTGCCTTTAGCTTAACGGCGGTGACGTGAAGTCATGTGACCGTGCTGTAGTTCCTTTATAGCCCAACATTAGCTGCCTTTAGCTTAGCGGTGGTGACGTGAAGTCATGTGACCATGCTGTAGTTCCTTTATAGCCCAACATTAGCCACCTTTAGCTTAGCGGTGGCGACGTGAAGTCATGTGACCTGACTTCCAATTGAAAAATCCCGTTGGCTTTTTGTCGAGGGGAACCTTGCAATGCTTACTTCTGGGTAGGCCTACAAAAATATGTCATCACTGACCCCCTCTATTTAGATGTAAATAAAACTCAAGAAAAAGGAGGATAAACAGTTTGTCTTACCGTCCTCTTCTTTAACGGCGGACGTTTGGTTGCTGACTCTCTCTCCGTTAGTCGGGCTTGGTTCAGGCACTGCCGGCGGTTGAGAGGCGATCCATGTGGACTCAACGCCGTTCATCATGTCCTCGCTGCTCACAGAACTGTCATCCTGACGGGAGGAGAAGGGAGAAACTGTGAGAGGATGTGCAGGAAGAGGGAGGTCTCTTCACGCTTTCACATCAAACAACAGAGTTTTTCTTTTATCCCGAGATAAAATGAAGAAGGAACATTGTGTATCTTTGCATCTCATGGTCACACTGTTTTTCAAAGTTCTGGCAACTAGCTTAAAACCCTATCATGTACATGTGTATACATTTAACTGGCACCACGTTTATACAACTGTGTCAGACTAATCACTGGTGTCCCACAGGGCTCCATCCTGGGTCCCCTCCTCTTTTCTCCATACACCAAATAATTCACTCTCATGACTTTTACGATCACAGCTAACCCAGATAACCCTCAACAAAGACTGGCTCCAACACAATGTACGTGATAGGCTAAGGGGGCGGGACATCTCTAAGCGGTTGACCAATCACAACAGAGCCGGCCAGCTAACCAATCAGAGCAGACTGGGCTCTGGTTTCAGACAGAGGGTGAAAAGAGGTGCTGCAGCACAGGCAGTATGAGAAAAATAAAGAGCTTTTTGAACATTAAAGCATGGAGACATGTAGAGACACTACATACTGATATACACCTGAACATCAGCAGGAGAGGACTCTTTAAAGTAGAGACACTACATACTGATATACACCTGAACATCAGCAAGAGAGGACTCTTTAAAGTAGAGACACTACATACTGATATACACCTGAACATCAGCAAGAGAGGACTCTTTAAAGTAGAGACACTACATACTGATATACACCTGAACATCAGCAGGAGAGGACTCTTTAAAGTAGAGACACTACATACTGATATACACCTGAACATCAGCAGGAGAGGACTCTTTAAAGTAGAGACACTACATACTGATATACATCTGAACATCAGCAGGAGAGGACTCTTTAAAGTAGAGACACTACATACTGATATACACCTGAACATCAGCAGGAGAGGACTCTTTAAAGTAGAGACACTACATACTGATATACACCTGAACATCAGCAAGAGAGGACTCTTTAAAGCAGAGACACTACATACTGATATACACCTGAACATCAGCAGGAGAGGACTCTTTAAAGTAGAGACACTACATACTGATATACACCTGAACATCAGCAAGAGAGGACTCTTTAAAGCAGAGACACTACATACTGATATACACTTGAACATGAGCAGGATATTTCCTCCTTAAATCTGTAAGTGTGCTATTTGTAACTCTGTTACGTAGAGACCCTTAAGATGTTTGTTGTAGCGTAACACAAATATGATTTAAACCAGGAGGATTAGCAGAGGAATAATCTCACAAACTATTCAAACGCTGAGCTTTTTGGCTCCAAACTACAGAAATGATATCCGCCAACAGTTTTCTTCCTGCTCACAGAAACACTGACTTCTCTCTCAGCTGGCAGGAAAACTACGACTGCGTGATGAATATAATCTCGTTATCCGAGCACACAAACAGAAGTGAAACACCGGGGGAAATGATAAAGAGTTTAAATTGAGCAATTAAGAAAGAGTGGGAGACAACGGGGAGGAGAGTCTTTAATTAGAGTTTCTAAGCATTAAGAAACGCAGCATTACTAATGTCTATGCTTCATTTACATTTTCTCAGATTTACTTTTAAAACTGACCCACAAACAATAAAGTTGAAGCACTTTGCTGCTAGAATAGACTTGCTAAGCGTTACTATACCACATCAATTATTCTTCTAGAAGTTTTTAGCAAAGTAACATTATCTAAAAACATCTATCTCCTGTTTGAGTCGTATTTTAAGCGAATATGGGAAACATTTACAAAGATTTGCTGCTTTTCGTTAATCTTAGTATATAATACAAAAAACTTAAGCTGTAGCACTTAAAGAGTAAACTTACAGAATGTAAATATATAAACTTGCTCGTTCCATCAATTAAGATGTTGAGATCAAATATATCTTCAGACGTTTTTAACAGTTTTGTGAGAAGCGACTTTTATTTAAAAAATCTATCCAAAAAAACAGTTTGCATCATTTTTGAAAGTTAGTAACAACAACGAATAAAATATATGTGTGGCTCAGTGGGTTAGTGTGCTGCACTTAGTGTGCTGAACTTTAAATCAGGGAGCACAGGTTCAAACCCCACTGCAGTCAGCATGTCGTTGTGTCCCTGAGACACTTCACCCCAAATTGCTCCTGTGGTGATTGTCCACAGTATTGAGTATGTAAGTCGCTTTGGATAAAAGCGTCTAACAAGTGACATGTAATGTAATGTAATATTATGTAATGTAATGGAAAACAAATATCAGGCATGTTTTCACCACTTCATATCGTTTATTTCTCTATAAAATGTACTGTATCAATCACTTCTGCATACAATGTTTCAGATTCATCCACAAACCCTCCTCTGATCAGTTGTTATCAACAAACCAAACCTTCTGCTGCTGCACTCTAACTAAACCCCCAAGTCTCCTGCAACACGTACAATAAACCTCTCGTGATGTTAATTATTAAATTATTCTCGTTGCACACAGATGAGACCGACAGCGATTTTAATTTGTACTCACCCACAGATCTCAGTCCGGGTCATTGTTCCGGATAATCCTAATTATGTGCCAGTGAGGTTCTACATTATCATCGCGCTGCCTTCACTTTACTGACGGGGGTTTCTGAGGGTTTCTGTGACAGCCAAACATGGGAGGGGTCTCTCACACAACGTCATTATAATCCTGATTTAACTCAGCGCTCCTCCCCCATCAGCAGGGAGGAGACACTAAAGGTGAATGGGGTAAGAAAATAAACGTACGGATATCACCATGAAACTTCCCCTCTTCAATACTGACATTAACACAATTATATTTTGTATTACAAGTGTTACATTTTGTTGTGTCATGTTGTTGACATTTTAGTCAAAGGGTTTAACAGAGAGGATGTCTTTGCATCACTCCATGAAACAGAAAATATGTCCATAAAAAACACCTTTTCTGCATGTTTTTAGTAATAAAGTGTGTGTGAATGAGTGTAGAAAGCTCCAGAATATACAGAGGAATGAAAGTGGAGAATTTGGTGTGTGTGAGATATTTCTGCTGAGAGAGGAGGAGAGGAAACGGCCTTTAAAGATCTGTAATGTAATATTAATATCTCTTGTACACACTACAGGCGAATAGGGTAAAATAATGCACTAATAGATATCACCATGAAACTTCCCCACTTCATTACTGACATTAACACAATTCTTTTTTGTATTACAAGTTTTCTGAAATGTTATGTTTAAATATGCAAATTAGGTGTTATGTTAGTAAATATGTCATAATGTGTAATCTCTATGTAACACACTGTAAATACTGCCTATAAAGACGACCTTTTCTGCATGTGTTTGGGTAAAAAAGTGTGTGTAAATGAGTGTGTGAATGGTGTAGAAAGCTCCAGAATATACAGAGGAATGAAAGTGGAGAATTTGGTGTGTGTGAGATATTTCTGCTGAGAGAGGAGGAGAGGAAACGGACTTTAAAGATCTGTAATGTAATATGAATATCTGTTGTACACCCTACAGGTGAATAGAGTAAATAAATAACAGATATCACAAATCACTAATCCTAAAACACTGCCATAAAAACTTGTATGAATTTAGGAGAAATTGAAGATGATTGAAGATTGAAGAAGAAGATTCAACTTATTGTCATCACGTAGTACAGGTACTATGTAACAAAACGGTTTCTCTGCATTTGACCCATCCTAGTGTTAGGAGCAGGGGCTGCCATTATGTACGGGGGGGCAGTGTAGGGGACGGTGCCTTGCTCAGGGACACCTCGGTAGCACTTGGTCTTTCCGGGACTTGAACTGGTTGCCAAGCCAAGTCCCTATGGACTTCGCCACCACCGCCCGACGCAAACAAACTGATAGTTAGTAAAACAAACGCCTAAATGTAAATTATGGATGTTTTCTTTCTATTAGGATTAAAGAGGACATGTTATAAAAGATAAATGGCCCAAAAAATCAACAACAAACAACTAAAAATGTACCAATAATAAAAAAAAAAGATAGGTAGAAGAAAGATTTGATTCTCTCTGCACCAAGTGATTCTCCTCCGTGAGACAAAAAGACAATGAACCAGAGGATTTGTTCCAGTCAATACTGTGAGGGAAACTTCTGAAGCAATTGTAAACAGGACTCAGAGAGACGCGAGGAGAGCTGGAGCTTTGGTGGCAAACACTGACGGTTTATTTGGAGCTTCGGCCGGAGAATTCACAAGACATGTCACGGGCCACGGTCTGACCACACGGTTGAGACGCCACAATCAATTCTGAAGCACTCTACCTCTCGTATGATTAACTAGTTCAGAGTGTAATAATCAACCTTCTTCATTAGTTAGACTAAACAGCTGAGGACACTGAATCACATTTGTTGTCGCTTATGGCTCGGGGTCATCTACACCCGAGAAGGATGTGTTCCAGGTGTCCCACAACAATATCTCTGACCGACAGCTGCCCGGTCACAAACTGGTAACACCAACAAAATGCTAGGGCAGCCCCTCCTTAAGGGAGATAGCATGCTGCCCAAGGTTGGAGCATCTGCGTCAGAGGGCGAAGGAGGAGGACATGCAGGGCAAAGGATTCCCTGACAAATACAAATGTGATTACTTAGTTAAAAAGCAGATGTTGTTTATCTAATGAATCCATCAGAGAACACTCACCCTCTCGGTGGGCGTCATGCACTGCAGCTTCATCTGCTTCAGGTAGGTGGCAGTGAGCGGCATGTTGTAGTCGATCAGGTCCGGGACCAGGGAGGTGGGCCTGTCGTTCTCTGAGGAAGAGAAACACACACATTACACACACAAAAATATACAAAGAAATATCGAATAATTCCACTATAATCCCCATACCTCCAGCATGGAGCCACGGTGCCCCTGCAACACGGAGCTTGGACCCCCCCAAAAGAATACATCTATGATAATGCAATTCCTTTTCGTTACTAAGTTACTCTGCTTTTTTCAGTCATGTAATTTAGTGGAAACTAAGTCACTGAAACAAATGTTGTGACTATAACATGTTGTGAAATAATGTATTTTTTACCCCAAACTTATTTTAATGTTCTGTATCTTGGGCCAAAGTAACCAAACATTTTTTTTTTTTAAAGTCAGTGACACAAACTATGTTACTAAAAAACAATAATGCTAAATGTTAAAATCTCCTTCATCCTGCATTCAATGGCCCCCTCTCATTAAATGATTGGCCCGGTAAAATGAGTCTAGAACCGCCACTGCTCCATAAACAACCAAACATGGTATTTAGCACAGATAAATAGAGGACTGGGTCTGTTTGCACGATGAAGACAGGGTCAGGTTGTTTATTAATACCTGTTAGTTTGCAGATAAAAAGACATGGGATCCGTCCTGACCCTAACCCCCACACAAGATTTAAAAATATCAATGATAAAATCTCTAGTTTTCTCGCCTCATATGCATTAATGAGGAGTATAAGAATAAAACAAACAAGCAAACGTAAAATTCAAAAAGCAAACATAAGAAATACAAAACAGACATAAAGAGACATTCGGTGGAAATCAACAAAAAGTTAAAAAAATACAGATATGTTAAGAAAAAAAGACAAAATACTGAATAAATGTCATTTAATAATAAAATATATGTTTTGTATTCATCAAAGATAGCTCTTAATTAGTTGATTTGAACTATCCCTGTCCATTTATTCATGTGTTTGCCTTTCCCTTCAATATAAATTATTTATATTAACCCTTATGTTGTGTTCGGGTCTCCCGTGACCCGCTTCAAGTTAAAATGATATAAGAACTACGCTCTAGTTTCTTGTATCTGAACAAGGCTTCATGATATCCTCCACAACAGCTATATAAACACTACAGAACTGATTTTGAAAATGTTTGCCAAGCCTGAAGGTCTCCAAAAAAAGAAAGTGTATAATTTGGTGTTGGGGTCTGGCAGAATTGTTGTGGGTGACTCGGGGTCAAATTTGGCCCAATCAAGATTCATCTTTGACTTTAGACGCCCCCCCCCCCCTTCATCCACTGTAACAATAATGTTTCTCAACATGCACCTGGTCTCCCCTCCCTCTGCCCCCCTCCCCCCACGGGAACTCCACCTTTCTCAAAGAATATGTACACTAACACTTGAACCTGAACTCACACATGCACGTGTGCAATATGTGGTGTAATGAGTTTTGGGGCCATAACATTAAATGACAACAGGATTGTACGGTTATGAATGCATTATAAGTTAGTTATGATGTAGTTAAAACAATATTGGATGATAGTCTTTATTTTTCAGTGTTTTGGACTGAGATAAATCATGGGTCAAAACTGACCCGCGAACACCATGAACGGTGACAGCTTTCGAACACAACTCAAGGGTTAAGTAGTCAACGTTTCAACATGGTATCTTTTACCTATTGAACTGTCACCATACAGTATAATAATGTAAATAATATCCAGCTTTATATTGTGTCTAAAGCTCTTCAATAGTGTTTTATTGTCAGAGTTTATATATGTTTTATCTTCACGGTCTACTGTATATTTTCTACTTTTTAATGCTGTTTTAATTCTAATTTGAGATGTTTAATGTCTAGAATTGTTTATTTCTACTCTTCTGTGCAATGCCTCGTTTTATTTTGTTGTTCTTTATGCTGCTGCAATGCAAACATTTCCCAATTTGGGATCAATAAAGTCTGATCTGATCTTATAATGTTATAACCCCCGCTGCAGTCCCCTCAGCGAACACTAGAGGGACTCTGGGGTCAGTTCAGTGAATAGATCGTCCTCTAGAGGCTTTGTTACAACATGCAGGGGATGGATACCATATAAATATATATATTTACACAAAATATGTTTTATTAATGAATGTTCAATATCAAAACACCTAAAAGCACACATCAGGTCATATAACGTGTTAACAGGACGTTATCGCATGAAACAAACAAACAGAAAAGACGTTTCTATGACTGCTATGATGAATTATTAACGTACATGTTGGACTTTTATCCCTGTAGATATTCTCTTTACTGTGAACTTTACTACACAGCTGTCATACTGTAGCTACTACTTTAGTATTTATATTGTAATTTTTATATTTTACATTTATGTTCTTGACTTGTTTTAAATATTTAATAATGGATTAATAATATAATAATATTGTGAGGGATGAAACCCTCTGTAATGGTCTCTCATGCAGAGCACACAGCACACAGTGAAATGTGCTCTCTGCTTTTAACCCATCCTAGTACCAGGAGTCTAGTATTGTTGTACAGCGCCCGGGGGGCAATGGGAGTGAGGGGGGAAGGGGGATGTCCGGTGCCTTGCTCAAGGGCAACACGGCAGGGCAGAAGGTGAACTGGGACCTCTCCAAGTAGCAGTCCACACTCCATATTTAAGTCTGTTCGGGGACTTGAACCGGTGATCCTACAGCTCACAGCCCAAGCCCCTACTGACTGAGCCCCTGCCTCAATATTTAGAGAAAGGGAAGGCCAATAGCTGATGTATGATGGCGATTTATTGCTGTTGTTTTTTGCATCTGGTAGAATATAACAATTAAACTAGGGGTTAACCATGACTAAACAAACAAGTTAACATAAGTCAAGAAGCATTTTACTACGGGAATGTAACATATTGTACCATTAAGTCAATCTCCATAAAAGTCAACAGATAATTCAGATTTCCACTCTTTTTGAGTTCACTTAATATCAGACTTCATCAGCAGGAAGAAAACCTGTTTCTGAGACACGATGAAAATATATCAACTTACATAAATGAATACAAATAAACAAGGTTAGTGTAGCGTCGTTCCGAGCGTTGGCTCAGTGAAATACTATCACACTTTTGTGTAGCCTGCGTTATGCAAGATGCCATTAATATGCCCGATAAATTGATCTTTAACAAGGACCTCTCTTATATTTGTATTTCCTGTTAATATGTTTGTTGTAAGCACTCAACGACATCTCCTCTAAATGTACTGATTCTGATTAAATTATTCTATCAAATCCTGCAATAATAACTGTGCAACATGGATGCTATATCTTCAGAACTGTTACAAGATGTGTCTTTAATATTATTTGTATGCATGCTTCTTATGGCGCATTTCCACTGCAGGGCCTCGCACGGCTTAGTACGGTATGGTTAGGCCTTGGTAGGCCAGGCTCACTTTATGCTGCGTTTCCATTACAGTTTAGTAGCTGGGGTAGTAACTATAGTAACGCAGTGTAGGCGGAGCCGTGACGTCATCTTCAATGTGAAACACAAAACCAACATCAGCCGTTAGCTGTTAGCACTCAGAGCTCACAGCTCCTCATATCTGTTCAGAAACTAGACAAAAGTGAAACAAGTACAAACCACAGACTGCCTGTGTCATGGTGAATACAGTCGCTGCTTTATTTATGTCTGTATAGGCCGTTGTTGTGAGTGTGGACGGTCGGAGCATATACTGCGTTAGCTTAGCCAATCTCCATTCAGAAAACACGCATTTTAAAAGGTTTTTCGCCTGCCGTCTGTCTGCAGACTTGACAAAGCATTAATTCATGGTTTTTACTAACCGGTATCAGTATGTTGTTACTTCGGCATCATTTTGAAACGTGTATTACAATTAAATCACGGTCAAATATGTTCATTTTGTTGTAGTTGCCAGCGATTCTCTCTCTAGTTTAGCATACTCAGCCCGACTCAGCCCGGTTGTTGGCCCGGAAAGAACCTCGATTTTGGAGAGCCAGAAAAAAGGTGAAAAAGTAGCCCTGAGCCGGAACTAGCCCTAGTGGAAAAGCAAAAAAAAGAACCGTGCTACGTGCTGCAGTGGAAAAGCGCCATTAGTTAACATTAAGCTGTCTTTGGCTTTCTGCTGTAACAATGTACATTTCCCCTCTGTGGGACTAATAAAGGGATTCTGATTCTGATTAAATTATTCTATAAAAACCTGCAACCATAACGCCTTCCTGTTGCACTAAAGGGTTGATTGGTCTCCAACATCCCAGCATGCAACACAGAGCAGTAATTAACCCTTTCCCATGTCAGTGTGTCAAAGGATCCGAGCGTTATCCTCTCCTAAAGGTTGATCTATAAAGAAAAGCCTGTCTGTTAATGATGTCTGCAGAATTAGCGTGCGTCTGTACCTTTGAACTCGGCCGTGCTGGGGTTGATGTGCATCCTCTTCTGACACTCTCCACAGCTCATTAGGAACCGAGTCACCGCCTCTCGGGGCAGGAAGGCGTACGTCTCCGCGATCTGAGCACAGGAGAGGGGGGGGGGGGACAACAAGCAGGAAGTCAGAAAGAATAGCAGCAAAAAAACGTTTAATTCGTGCATGAGTGAGAGTGTGGGGTCAGTGGTTTGTGATATCTAGATAAGGTGAAATGAATTGTGTTTTCATAAAAGCGTCACACTTGTACGGTTTGAGGCCCTGAACAAAAAGGCATATGGTGTTATTGTCCTCTTTAAAGGTCACCTATTATGTCAAATCCTCTTCTTCATGTCTCTTCTACATCAACATGTGTCCCCTCTTCTTCATGTCTCTTCTATATCAACATGTGTCCCCTCTTCTTCATGTCTCTTCTTCATCACCATGTGTCCCCTCTTCTTCATGTCTCTTCTTCATCACCATGTGTCCCCTCTGTGACTCAAATTGAAATGGTAATGAGCCACAGAGATGGCAAAAGTACACACATCCTTTACTCAAGTAGAAGTACAGATACTCGTGTTTAAAAATACTCTGGTGAAAGTAGAAGTACTGACTAAACTTCTTTACTCAAGTAAAAGTAAAGAGGGCTTTGAAATGTACATAAGTAAAAAGTACCCATAACTAGCAGCTGTTTTAAAGAGTACCTGACCTCCCTTTATATTAATAGAACAATAATGTCATTGTTAGCTAATGAATGTTTCCATGCTGAACAACGGCAACATGACAACGTTTTCATTGGTCCCTCTTCTTTAGAGAAGACCAGGAAATGATGGATACACGGATCGTGTTCAAATCAATAGGCACGCAATGACTCTAAATAATAATGATCACGCCACCAAACACACATTCAAACTAAAGGAACCAGCCTGTTTGGAAAATGAGAGAAGTAGAAAGTACAGGTATTTGGGTTCAACATGTGAGAAGTAGAAAGTACAGGTATTTGTGTTCAACATGTAAGAAGTAGAAAGTACAGGTATTTGTGTTCAACATGTAAGAAGTAAAAGTAAAAAGTTGTCAGAAAAATAAGTAGTGGAGTAAAGTACTGATACCAGAAACATGTACTTAAGTACAGTAACAAAGTATTTGTACTCCACTACTTCCCACCTCTCTCTCTCTCTCAGGTGACATCTCCACCTCTTTGCCTCTCTGTTTCTGCCGTGCCACCCTCCCCTCCTCACCCTCACCCCCCTCTGGCATTTCCCTGTAAAACGCCGACCTTCACGTGACCATGGAGCCACAGCAGGGTGCCCGCCCCCCCCCGCCGCCACCGATCCCCCCACCCGCCCTTAAGCCATCCGAGAGGAAGAAGGCCACCCAGAGCAGCGTTGGGCTCCCAGAAGGCCACAGTGACAGCTCCATATTATGCCCTGCCCCACTGAAGCTGCTCCTCAAAAGGGTTCACGCTATGAGACATGACAGGACCTCTACAGGGCGGGAGGAATATCTGTCTCCCATCCTGAGGGGTGAGGGGTCCTGCTAACATCCCCCAACTCTGTGCTACAGCTGCACACAAAGACCCTCATTCTGCAGGACGCCACACCTCCGATTGTTAACCCACATCAGAATCATATTTATTACCAAGAAGGTTTCTTTTTTATTTTATTTTGTATTTTTGTATTTTATTATATATGTTGCATTGTTGGAGGAGCTCAGGTCAGAAGAAGTTCATTGCAATTTCTACACTGCGGCTTTGTGCATATGATGATAACACCTTTGCATTTGAAAGGTTTACACATAAGAGGGATTTTCTTTGGTGTGAAAGGTGCATTCAAGAACACAGAAAAAAGAATATGTGGTTTTTAAACACGATCCGTGTATCCATCATTTCCTGGTCTTCTCTAAAGAAGAGGGACCAATGAAAACGTTGTCATGTTGCCGTTGTTCAGCATGGAAACATTCATTAGCTAACAATGACATTATTGTTCTATTAATATAAAGGGAGGTCAGGTACTCTTTAAAACAGCTGCTAGTTATGGGTACTTTTTACTGAAGTACATTTCAAAGCCCTCTTTACTTTTACTTGAGTAAAGAAGTTTAGTCAGTACTTCTACTTTCACCAGAGTATTTTTAAACACGAGTATCTGTACTTCTACTTGAGTAAAGGATGTGTGTACTTTAGCCATCTCTGGTTCTTATTATGTGGTTGGGTTTACTCACAGCTTTGTACGTCTTCTTCTGCCCGGCGTGTTTTGGGGCTCGTCCAGGATCAGCGCCCATCTCCACGTGCATCGCATAGATGATGTCGAAGAAGTCCTCCACCACGGCTACACGTTTCAGGGAGGAGTTGTCCTGGGCTGAATTCCCATCTGAGCACTGAAACACAGACAGAGAGAGATTAGTTTAATGTCCCGACTCACACAAAGATATCAGGGTCACCCGTGTGTTCTAAAGTCTTCATTTATGAGGAGAGAACACGGTGAGGTGAACTTTGACTTTGCACCATTTGTGAGCTACGTCCTCTAAAAGTGATTGTTAGAGATTGAAAAATGCTTTTGTCAGAGTTCAAATTGCAAAAGAACGCAGAGTTAAAGGAAGAAATCAGACACTGGGAGAATATTAGCTAATTTTATTTATTAAAATAATTTCAAACATTTTCAAAAAGACAAATATTTCAGAAACAAACGTTTAAAAATCACGTATAAATTGACTTTTTCTTGCACTATTTTTTAATTTTTGAATTAGTTTAATTGTTTTATGTCTAAAATAACTATGTTGCATTGTTGGAGGAGCTCGGGACCATGTCTACACTGTAGCTTATGTGCATATGACATTACAACCTTTGAATCTTGAATCTAAAACATTTCAGAAAACACACGACGTCGCAGAAAACACAAAGAAAGCAAAAGAACATTTTACAAAACAAAAAACTATTTTAGAATACCTTTTAAAGTCATTTCAGGAAACCCAACAATTAAACACAACAAACGTTTAAAAAAAACGTTGGGAAAAATTTCGAAAATCAAACAATTACACAAAACATGAAAAAAAAATTAAATAAAGTTCAACTTCAGAAGTATTTTTAGATCACATGACTCATGGGTCAGGTGGTTTCACACTCAGCACAAAGCGTCCTTGTGGAGGAAGTTCCACACACAACCTGTTTGGTAAGAAGTGAGCAAGCAATAGAAGTTTAAAGCAAAGTTATTGTTATTGTTTTTTAATAAAGTTATTTAATGAAGTCAATAAAAGTCAAAGCATCTAACAGAGTTCATCTATTCCAGCTGACAGGACAGAGTCTTTGCACCAACAAGTTTGTAAAGATCTGACTACATACAACTGAACATACAAACTGTGAGGGAAACTTCTGAAGCAATTGGAAAACAGGACTCAGAGAGACACGAGGAGAGCTGGAGCTTTGATGGAGTCAGGACTCAGAGAGACACGAGGAGAGCTGGAGCTTTGATGGAGTCAGGACTCAGAGAGAGACACGAGGAGAGCTGGAGCTTTGATGGAGTCAGGACTCAGAGAGACACGAGGAGAGCTGGAGCTCTGATGGAGTCAGGACTCAGAGAGACACGAGGAGAGCTGGAGCTTTGATGGAGTCAGGACTCAAAGAGACACGAGGAGAGCTGGAGCTCTGATGGAGTCAGGACTCAGAGAGACACGAGGAGAGCTGGAGCTTTGATGGAGTCAGGACTCAGAGAGACACGAGGAGAGCTGGAGCTTTGATGGAGTCAGGACTCAGAGAGAGACACGAGGAGAGCTGGAGCTCTGATGGAGTCAGGACTCAGAGAGACACGAGGAGAGCTGGAGCTTTGATGGAGTCAGGACTCAGAGAGAGACACGAGGAGAGCTGGAGCTTTGATGGAGTCAGGACTCAGAGAGACACGAGGAGAGCTGGAGCTTTGATGGAGTCAGGACTCAGAGAGACACGAGGAGAGCTGGAGCTCTGATGGAGTCAGGACTCAGAGAGACACGAGGAGAGCTGGAGCTTTGATGGAGTCAGGACTCAGAGAGACACGAGGAGAGCTGGAGCTTTGATGGAGTCAGGACTCAGAGAGACACGAGGAGAGCTGGAGCTTTGATGGAGTCAGGACTCAGAGAGACACGAGGAGAGCTGGAGCTCTGATGGAGTCAGGACTCAGAGAGAGACGAAGAGAGCTGGAGCTTTGATGGAGTCAGGACTCAGAGAGAGACGAGGAGAGCTGGAGCTTTGATGGAGTCAGGACTCAGAGAGACACGAGGAGAGATGGAGCTTTGATGGAGTCAGGACTCAGAGAGAGACGAGGAGAGCTGGAGCTTTGATGGAGTCAGGACTCAGAGAGAGACACGAGGAGAGCTGGAGCTTTGATGGAGTCAGGACTCAGAGAGACACGAGGAGAGCTGGAGCTTTGATGGAGTCAGGACTCAGAGAGACACGAGGAGAGCTGGAGCTTTGATGGAGTCAGGACTCAGAGAGACACGAGGAGAGCTGGAGCTTTGATGGAGTCAGGACTCAGAGAGACACGAGGAGAGCTGGAGCTTTGATGGAGTCAGGACTCAGAGAGACACGAGGAGAGCTGGAGCTTTGATGGAGTCAGGACTCAGAGAGACACGAGGAGAGCTGGAGCTCTGATGGAGTCAGGACTCAGAGAGAGACACGAGGAGAGCTGGAGCTTTGATGGAGTCAGGACTCAGAGAGACACGAGGAGAGCTGGAGCTTTGATGGAGTCAGGACTCAGAGAGACACGAGGAGAGCTGGAGCTTTGATGGAGACAGGACTCAGAGAGAGACGAGGAGAGCTGGAGCTTTGATGGAGTCAGGACTCAGAGAGACACGAGGAGAGCTGGAGCTCTGATGGAGTCAGGACTCAGAGAGACACGAGGAGAGCTGGAGCTTTGATGGAGTCAGGACTCAGAGAGACACGAGGAGAGCTGGAGCTTTGATGGAGTCAGGACTCAGAGAGAGACACGAGGAGAGCTGGAGCTTTGATGGAGTCAGGACTCAGAGAGAGACACGAGGAGAGCTGGAGCTTTGATGGAGTCAGGACTCAGAGAGACACGAGGAGAGCTGGAGCTTTGATGGAGTCAGGACTCAGAGAGAGACACGAGGAGAGCTGGAGCTTTGATGGCAAACACTGACGGTTTATTTGGAGCTTCGGCCGGAGAATTCACAAGACGTCCTGAGCCACGAGTTGACACAGCGGTTGAGATGCCAAATCAATTCTGAAGCACCCTTCCTCTGGTAGGAGGTTTTAACTAGTTCGGAGTGTAATAATCAACATTCTTCATCAGCGAGACTAAACAATATGGACCCTGAATCTAACTAGAGCTCTCGTCCATACGAAAGAATGTGCGGCAGGGAACCTTCGTCCCTGAACAGTAAACTACCTCATGGCGGCTTGTGCTCGGTCATAGACTGGCAACAACAATGCGCCCACGCTGCCCCTCCTTAAGAGAGATAGCAGCAATACCCAAGGCCGTAGACCTATGCCATGAGAAAGAGACAGTGAGAGGAGAACATTATGAACTGTGTCGAATGTTGAGCAAATGATTCCCTAACACAAACACTTTATACACTAGAAAGCAAGGGAAAGAGGAAGGTCTCAGAAAGGCAACTTACATTACAGGAAGTGTTGGCCAGACGGTTGAAACTTGCATGCATGGTAATTACAAACCAATGTTCTCTCTTCGACCTTCAAAGAATTGATTTCAAAACACTGCTGCTGGTTTATAAAGCATTGAATGGTTTAGGCCCAAAATACATTTCTGATCTCCTGCTAAATGATGAACCATCCAGATCTCTCAGGTCTTCAGGTCAGCTTTCAGAGTCAGAACTAAACCTGGAGAAGTTCAGTTATTATGCTCCAAAACATCTGGAACAAACTCCCAGAAACCTGCCGGTCCGCTGCGACTCTGACTACTTTGAAATCCAGGCTGAAGACTTTTCTGTTTGCCGCTGCTTTTAATTGAACTATTCACATCTCACACTGCACTGTAACTTTTATTCATGTATTTTTTCTTTTAATGTTTCTTTTATTATCTTTGCTTTTTAAATGCCATTTTCTTAATGTCTTTGATTTTTGTAAAGCACTTTGAATTGCCTACTGTTGAAAGTTGCTATATAAATAAACTTGCCTTGCCTTCTGTCTGTCCTAAGGAAGTGAGAATTAGAGGCTAGATGTGAATTCAAACCGCGGGGAAATCAAACCAGAGAAGGAAGTTATACTTAAATGATGATACATTTACTACAACAATCCTATCCCCCCCCCCCCCCCCCTCTCCTCTCACACTGCACTGTAACTTTTATTCATGTATTTTTTCTCTTAAAGGTGGGGTAGGTAAGTTTGAGAAACCGGCTCGAGATACACTTGTTGTTATATTCCATGGAATGCTCTTAACATCCAGATAGCAATGAAAATCTGAAGTGCTTTGACAAAAAATCCATAAAAAAATATCATCTGTGGAAGCTGTAGTACTGTAAAAAGCACGACCAATCATTTTAGCCGGCCCGGCTAAAGTAACTGGATGGCCTACCTGCCTGTCAGCCTTCCATCTGTGCACAAACTTATCTCGTGCCCTCATTGGTCATGTGCGCGTTCGTGTGTGTTGGAGGAGGGGCTCTGTGAGGAAGTGGCAGATTTTCTCCGGTTGTGTATTTTCAAATTCTAGCGCACTCGAGCCGGTTTCTCAAACTTACCTACCCTACCTTTAATGTTTCTTTTATTATCTTTGCTTTTTAAATGCCATTTTCTTAATGTCTTTGATTTTTGTAAAGCACTTTGAATTGCCTACTGTTGAAAGGTGCTACTGTATATAAATAAACTTGCCTTGCCTTCTGTCTGTCCTAAGGAAGTGAGAATTAGAAGCTAGATGTGAATTCAAACCGCGGGAAAATCAATCCAGAGAAGGAAGTTATACTTAAATGATGATACATTTACTACAACAACCCCCCCCTCTCTCTCTCTCGGCCCAGCTGGGTCTCGAACCTCCGTCTCTGGCATCTGAAATGTTTTAAAAATAACCACAGGACGCTGCAGCACCTCTGGCTCCATCCTGCCTCTGTAAACAGCTGACCCTGTCGCCATAGAAACTGCTTTCTGATTTCTCCCGGGCAGGTGGGCTGGGCAAAGGGTCATATGACACGCCGTGGAAGTGGGATATCGCCAGGACAACGGCCTCCATCCTGCTGCACCACAAGGGGCTTTTTCACTCTGCTCCCTGCCTCCATCTTTCCCCGTAACGCTCGTTTACAAAACACTTTCCACAAGATCTGGCCTTCAGATTTAGCTCCGGCAAACAACTCAAGATTCAAGGCTTTTATTTTCATTTGTACAGCAGCTACAGTGTAGTTGTGACAATGAAAATATGAGGTCACAGGCTCCTCCAACAGTG